TCGCGTGTCGCTCGGTTGTGAGTTAACTCTACCACCTCACAGGTTGCACTGTAACCCGATGAGGCGTCTCGTTTCCAAGATCTACAGCAGTCACCAACCATGGTCTAGCCTTCTCTGTCTGTCTCTATCGTCTGCTTCACACACACTCTCTCTCTCTCTCTCTCTCTCTTGAGTCCAGAACACACCTGGAAATCCACAGACGATTACTTCACAACTATAGCTCGCTCACAAAACCTAGCTGTTAGTACACCAATAATGTCACGGTGGGCAAAATACAAGGAAATCCGCATGCCTTCCAACACAGCAATTTTAAAGCGACACTATCACATGCTTGTCCCCCATAGAGCCCATATAACACACATGACACCACGAAGTCTTGCACTACTAGCATATGCACACATCGGGACTCCATAACTGAGTGCTCAAATATTAGACTACGAGTCAGCAGTACAGTTCCTATACAACAGCAACGCGACAAAAAGGAATTTTAATGAGTAAATGATCTAGCTGTGTACCGAGAGGGGCAAGCCAAGCTCGCACAAGGCCCTCGAAGTGCGTGTGTATTAGGTCGTAAGGTTACCATGGTTTGGCTGGGAATAGCCTAAGGTGTCGTCGCCGCCCGATAAGATCCATTCACACGCCGATTTGACGTTGGCACCAGGCAATATTGCTTCATTCATCATCTAACAGTTAGCTAACAGCTGCAATCAAGGGCCTTGCTGTACATTGTAATAAGTATTAATATTTACAGTAGAACCTAGAAGAGAGACAGGGAGAGAGAGAGAGAGAGAGAGAGAGAGAGAAGGAGAGAGAGACAGACAGAGAGAGAAGGAGAGAGAGAGAGAGAGAGAGAGACAGAGAGAGAGAGAGAGAGAGAGAGAGAGAGAGATATGGGGGGGCGGTGAAAGCTCGCGCGCGGAGTCTATAGCAGTGCAGTGTACAAACCTCAATCCCTTTCTCACAGCCAAATGTACAACAGAAGAGGTCGAAAACAATTTCTTTCATTCCAAAGAGTTCCAAAACTAAAAGCGTAAAGAGCATGAGAAGGACACCATGTTCAAGAGAGCTGCCAACAAAGCCTTGGAAAAGGTTTCAAGGCTAAACCCAATGCTAGAAATAGGCTCTTTATATACAGTGGAACCTCTGAATAAAGGACACATGTTCCAGCTTGTTAACCATGAAAATTGTCCTATACGGGAGCATCCTTTAAATAACATTTGCACCTTATCAAAGTGTCCTTTATACTGGTGTACTCTGTTCAGAGCCTCCATTATAAGAGGTTCTCATTGTAGCGTAGTACAAACGTAGTGGATCTCTGAAGCGGGAAATAATTTGCGACACATGGCCTGAAACCCAAGCCAACGAGATGCCAATGGACCACCATGGACCACCAATGAACTTAGAGCCCGTGGGTTCCGCGCATGTGTGTGTGTGTGTGTGTTCCATTAGTATAACACCCACAGTGTTATTTGCCAACTGCAACGAGGCAATTGTACTGCAAACAAAAGCAACACCGACACCCAATAATTCTGCTCAGAGTTGCACTCACTAACCGACACAATAGTCATCATAGTACATATGCACTGCACATACTTCATTAGTACATTTATGCATGCAACTTTGCAGCATAATACTTGGACAATAGCACCACACACTTATCCACTATATAGTACAAAACAAAAACACTGTTTATCAAAAGGGTATATACCATCAGTGTACATACGTAGATCGTGTTGATACCACTGATTGCATAGTTGGTGCATGCCTCTAAAAAGCAGTGATTTTTATGCTTTTTTTCTGGAATCTGTACACTACAGCATGCAATATACTCTTCGTCAATTTTTGAAATTGCCAGAATAAGAATGAGCAGTGTATCACGATGCATATGTACACATACATAGGTGAACAAAAAGTTATGGCCATCCATCTGATTGGTAAGAGGGGAGCAAATCCGAGAAATTAGAGTAACATAGTGCGTCGAGGCAACGAAACTAATGTGCTGTCCCAGAATGTACTACAGCCATAGTAGACACTGCCTCGTGTGCAGTAATAGCTATAGCAGCACACAATGCAAAATTCAGCCTCCTCTTACTACTGTGTGTGTGTGCGTGCGCGTGCGTGTGCAACATGCTGAAAAAGACATGTGATCAAAGATCACTACAAGCTCCATTTCTACTCGAACTCCAAACTACAACATTATTACAGTGTCACATAAATGGTAGCCTTCCATTGTGCCCTATTTGCAGGGAGTAGTGTGTATGATATAGGTTTAGTGGCATCTGCTGAAAAGGCTTGGCCAGGTATAGTGAACAAACTTGCTGCTAACAACGCCAGACACTGCAAAGGGTGGTGGTTCCAAAGGCACAAGTGTGTTTTTTTTGCCGTTGTTACAGTTACATAAGAGCCAGCTCATTTTATGTACACAACAAATGCAGCAGGCAAACAACAGAACTTGCAACGCTTGCCAACCTCGCTAACACAAACAGAAAACGTGCAAAAGTGGCACTGGCTGCACCTTACATGCAGGCTGCAAGAGCAGGGCACGACACGAGAAATTGTATCACATCCTCACCTACAGTTGAAGGTCGGTCTGCTCGCAGAAAATCAAAGACGGCAGAGCTCCAAACACGGCCGGCCAGGGTGTCTTGGCCACAACTCTGCGATCCCCGCTGCTTTTTATTGATGCGCACATGGCCGGCTGGAAGCGCATGCGGTTAAACGCCCTTCCGCTCCGTGAGCGAACTTCCGACGTATCGCTGACGGCATGCGTCGGCGTCGGCTGTGCAGTGGGATCCGTTGTCTTTCTGAATTGAAGCATGCAGGTTGTGGCCCGACTGTGATACATACAATGCTTATATAGCGCTCAGAAGTGCTTACTGTTCCCGTGTGCATTCGTCACATGATGCATGCGAACAATACAACTGGTAGCCTATTACTCTTGAGGCATTGTAGTGTGCATAGTAGAACCATTCTGTTCGCCTGTGTAGTCACCTTCCCTCTTGTCATAGAGCTGAAAGGCTCACACGCCTTGCAGCAATCCTTTGGGACGAGTAGGCAACAAAAGTGATCGTTAATATCGCACGTTGTTGAGACCTTTAGCAGGTCAATACCGGTGGGGCTCCAGCGTCCCTTGTCACCTGTTCTCTGAAAGATAGAGAGTGTTTGTCAGAGGGTGCCAGCTTGTCCTTTGAGACCTCGAAACACATTAGCACACTATTTGTGGCTCTTGTGCCCAAACTGGTGCACTCGTGTGTGTCGACAGCTTCAAAAAGTTTCTCACCCACATCACACGTACACACACACACACACACACACACATTGCGAAACTGTTTGAGTACCTAATGACACCCTGTTGTAGAAGCATGATTTAATAATGAGCATTTCACCAACAAATGTATTACAGTGTTTGCAGTGTGTGTGCTTCATCGTGAAGGAAATGTTTATAACGCACGTGTAGATTCCCTTCAGTGTTGTGCATGCTGAGACAGTTTATTATGTTGTGTTGTACAACAGCTGGGTCTGCTGAGTGTATAGCTACGCTATGGAAGAGCCCTCTGGATAGGAAACATGGGACCCATATCAGCTCTGTGTTTTTATGTTGTCCTGGGTGCATTTGCTCTCGGGTGTCAAATACCTAGACCATGTTAGGAGCAGGAGATATCCACAACATACGCTGGGATTAGAGCCATGTTGAAACTCAGCTCCATAATAGTGAGTCCACCCTTATAAACAATTTACCATTTTCTCCCTTGGGGAGACCATCTTTTCCCTAATTCAGCATACTTTTCTAACAGTTAGACATTACTCTTGGCTGGTTATGCTGTGTTCAGGTTTAATCAGACAAGACCAAGGTACTAGTACTGGACCCAGGACAATCTTCTATATACATGGCAGCTGACAAAACTATATACAGTGGTATGATAGCAACCTCCCTAAATGTACGCTGCATTGTGTGATTGTGTATTGTTAACTTGGTACGAAACACAAATTAAGTGTGTCACGAGTCAAAAGAAGTGTGTTTTGAAGTAGTCATTGAAAAGGCACGACAATGCTACTATGGTGTATTGTGTCCAAAGTGGCAGCTGCTCGTCATACAGCAATTTGCTCTCTTAACTGGTCATCCATAGTCACCAAACAGATCCGACAAGAGAGGCTGCAAGCTAATACACAATGTGAAAAAAAAACATCCTATAATGAACAATAAAACACTGCATGAAAATTGATTTTAGATCAACCACTGTGCATGGTGGAACCAGTACTTTGTGCACTAACATTGGCTCTCTTCTCCAAAGTATATAATAAGACCAGGAAAGTGAAAATAGAAGACAAAGTGTTGGCGATTTCCAGTTTGAGACTTGAAGGTAGCACATCCTTTTCAACTGGATAAATATTGATGTTGAAGGGCATATACTTGTGACACAACAGCCGGTGTATGGGGGATTGAACCTGTTCATCTGATCTTCAGATTGTCATTGCAGAACCTCTTCTCGCTCTAAAATGAGGAGACCTCTGGAGGACAACTTTTCCAAGAAACGCTGGTATATATAATTATATACCTCCCCAGGACTATGGATACCTTTTCTGTCCCATATGGTGTCTGGACAAGGCCAGTGCTGTACAATCGCTATGTTTAATGTCAGTCATGCATTCGCATCAGTGGTAATGTTAGATTCTCAAAAGGACGAGTTAAAAGAGGACACCTCTCTATATAGGAAGAATCTTTCGTGCTAATAAGACCACACATGTCCTTATTCATTGCATGGAGGCAGATGGACACAAATAGAGTGTATCTGGATTCTCCAATGATGTTCTGCTCCATCCAATAGCTAATCAGAATGTGCTGTGGTAGTATGAAAGAGCTCAGAACTTCGTGTTGTTTTGAGACTAGGCTCAGCATAATTGCAGTTGTCTCCACAAGCAACATGGGAGCAGTGATTTAATTCTGTTGTCAACACTGGAGTTCATCTTCATCTGGATTATACAGCTCATTTGGGAGACTGAGACCTGAAACTGTTAGCCACAGCCTTATAATGATTAATAGGTTCTTGGCAATATTAAATGCTACTAATTAATGCCAAAGAACAAGAATGAATTTGCTAACTCATTAACAGAATAAAAAATGTACAGTGATTATAATAATACACATAATTATGCGGTAACAAACACAAGTATATCAGTAGCTATACACTCGAAGACAACAGCAATTCCGGTCACAAACACTGCATAGATATGTTTCTGAGGTACGTACTCCTTGTATATGAAGAACACCTGCAAATTAATAATAATTATAATAATGAGGCTTGTGCAAAAATTATTAATTCGAATAAAGGACACATCTGGTGCTATTACTTAGCGAATCATTTTACCACTGAACAAAGGAAGCCTCTGATAAAATGACAATTTGATCTTGTATTTTTTTAAGGTTCCATTTGTACTATTAAAATTATCTAGAATTAGTAATGGCTCACCATGAAGAAGGGAACTTGTGCAAACACTGCAAAAAGAAAGATGACTTGTTACACTAATGTCAGACTAAAAGTGTATAAAGAAAGCTCACCAAGTAAGCTGGCAAGTAGGAGAATGTAAAGCTTGGTTACTCTCCAGGACTGAATAGATGCCATTAGAATAGAGAGCTGCAGAGATAACACCACACCACTATATTATATCTCTTAGAAATATTGCAGGTCCTGCAGTGGATCCCACGATGATTTATGATCACATTATGCGTGGTAAACTGACCACACACCTCGATTGTAACCTATGACTTAGTTCGGTGGAAAAGGAAGTCTATAGTTACAAATCTGAGTGAAATGTGCCTCACTTTCTGAAGCAAAAATGTCCTACAAATCACGGTAGTTTATCTGGTGACTACTCTAGAATCCAGTCAAAACCATTGCACTCATGTTCTGCAGTTGTTCAGTAGCTGTATAGGTAATCAGGTGGTTCAACCTTGCCTCCTGGAACCTTTCTACGAGCACATTGAAATTCTGGGGAAGCATGCCCCAGACCCCATATGGGGGGTTATTTATAACACAGAGTTCCCAAACTTAAACTCCTTTATGAACCCCTGATTCACATTGGCATGCTCCAATATTTAACCTATTTAATAATATAGTGCAAGGAAGGTGTATAGCAAGAGACGAAAGGTAAGAAGGAAAAAGCATCCATATTGCTGGTGAATGTGTTCTTTTGTTCATTGGTTCACTCACAATAAGATTGAGGACCACAAACGCCAGAAATCCTCCCAGAACCAGTTTCTGGATGAGAAGAAAATTACAGTGTTAGCTCCAAGCTAATCAACGCATTGGAGTGAAATGGACACTCTGAATAAGGGCCACCTTACTCGTCTCGTTGGGCTATATAAACATCAGACATAAAGGTCATATTATATATTCCCAGATAATTGGGCACTAAATGGAATAGGAGTGTCCTAAGGGGCCAATTACCGCAGTGTTATGGCCAGTCCACGAATATACTTTATAACTCGTAAAGGTATATACATTATTCCAGAATCCCGTCACTTGCTGGCGCGCGTCCTCTAGACTGTTTTGCTCACTTACAAAAATTTTATTGTCCTTGTTTTCCTTCCATATCGGCTTTGGACCGGCGGCAGAGGCGTCTGTCGTCGGGGGAGCAAACAGAGGCCGTTTCTCGTCGTCCATCGCGTCTGTGTCGCTCGGAGAAGCAGACAAGCGAGCAGCGCAGAGAGCTACGTAGAGTGGGGCTGGAAGCCGGGGGGTGGGGCTAATATCACGTGACACCGCAGCGCGCGTAAAACGTTCGTACACGTAAACGTAAACGGTCGCGTTTTGCCTGGGTAAATCGCGAAAGCTATAGTACTTACAGGTTTTCGTCCACGTTTCTCCTCTCTGAGCAGCAACTCCTGGTGCGGACGGTCTCCCTGAGTGTTGAGTAGTATGGGTCGCCTTTGCTCACTCTCCGTCCAGCCCGATTTGGAAGACGCCATGGTTGCGTAGAAGGGGGCGTGGGCTCACGAATCCCCAGTTTATGGCTACTATTCCATCCACCAGCCTGCATTTATGCTCTTAGGGGTACAAGGAGCTAAAGAGTCTTGAAAGTTGTCAAGAGTGAGATTACCTAGGCCACCTCGTTGTCTAGTGATGCGTGAACAATCTAGCGATGTTGATGCGTAACGTAAGTAAGTACATAGATACGTCGAAACGCAGTGAGAACCGCGCTGTCACGTGAATATAGCGTTCTGCACAGCGGCGGCGGAAAGCTCCAACGAAGACGAGTGCGGAGCTCTATAGAGGGACGAGACACGCGAGACAAGATGAGTGGAGTCAGGCCGAAGAGAGGTATGGGGCCGGAGAGACCCAGTCAGAAAAAGGAGCCCGCTAGGGCGTCCACGGCGGACGTGACGCCCAGGGACTCCACCGAATCGTCTCCTGCACTCACCGACAGACCGTTCCTAGAGAGAAGAGCACCCGTGAGTGGCCAGCCAGTTCGCGAGCTTTGAGTGTGTTCGCCGTAGCCGCGCATCTAGAATTTCCGTCTCGTGCTAGTGCTTTGTAAGCCACACCCCCCATTTTCGGGGGCATAGTTGGTATGCCATGCCTCCCTTTTCGCAAACTCTATCCCAGGCCTTCTCGCTCCCTTTTAATAATAGCACTTTGCTATGGATCAAGTCTATATTGTGCATATGTGGACACTCCAAATAGATGATGCCTCTTTATAAGGGACACTCATTTCGTTCCTGTACTAAAATACTTGGTAGTAGTGTGTGTTTTTAATTAACCTCTGTCTTGCATAGTACTTCACTTTGCAGTCCAACTCTTTGTTTCAAGCATGGGAAAGTGAAGTGTTATTCTTGTTGTGTGTCCGTCTGCAGAAGCTCCTCATGTTAGCTGCCACCATTGTCGTCGGAATCATGTTCATTGTAAGTGTGGATACTGTGTGAAACTATGCAGTGATTGAGCAAGAACTGACGAGTAATCTTAATGTCTGTCTACTCCTCTGTTCGGGCGAGGGGTATAGGGGATTAGAGGTTTAGTAGAAACATTTTAACGCAATCTTACAGTAATTGCATTTACTCTGTTAGTGTGTCTGCAGAGCACGAAGTTTAAACCACTGTACGTGATGTAACACGTGGAACTGTTTTGAAAAAAATTTGAAGGTGCGCAAAACTGAATAAATGCACAGTGTGAGAGACTGCAAAAATTGAGTATTATCTCTCGAAGGTGTCCCTATAATTATTACCCAACGTACACACAAGTAAACTTGCTTTGCTTGCCAATGTCACCCCTAATGGAATAAGAATGGGGTAATGGGATAATTGTGTGAACTGTGTAAGGTACTCTGCACGCGACAACTCCCCAGTTTGTCCTCGCTGTTCTCAAAGACACGTGCACTAGTTATTACATCCTTACTGATATATCACTCGTAACTGAATTAGGTGGTAGAGCAGCAGCGATTTGTGTTGCTGGCTGACCTGGCGTGCGTAATTTGTCTAGCGCTATTAGTTGCTGTGTTGTTGGCCGGGCAAGACAGTTTAGGAGGTGGTGTGTGATACACATGTCAGCAGTGTGTCTAGAGGACAGCTTGTGACAGGTTGCATTCTGGCTCAATGGGAGATGGGTCTATGGCTGGTATGCTATGAACTATAATTTCATGCTGATCAATGAGGCGGTTGTAGTGCAGTTCAGAAAGTTGCAGTTTCACGCTATGAGCCATGTATGTGCATGAGTCATAAGGCTTTTAACCCCACATGAAAGACTATAATCTGTACATTTATGACAAAGCTAATTGCTCATCACCATTGCATTTTGAGCTCATTTCTCTCTCCCTCCCTCTCTTTCTTCTTCCTCCCTCCCCCCTTCCCCTTGTCTCTGGCTGCAGCTGGCTTTTTCATTCTGTCTGGCTTTTGGGATAAAAAACAAGCAGCCCCGCTATTTCCTTCTCCTCATCAATATCATACGTGAGTTGCTCCTGCCTGTTTAGTGCATTTAATAACTGCTTTTCCATTCCCCCCCTCCCTTTACCCTCTCTCCCCTCTCATTTCCCCCCAGTAAGCACAGGCGTTACAGTGTTATTGGTAAGCTAATGCAATAGACCTGTACTGCTGTGACCATTGGTTGCATAATAATTGATGTGGGCTACAGTAGCTGATATGGCGTGTTTTATTCACACATTTTCATTTGAATGCCCTCTCACGTTGTCGTATTACACGAAGTAAATGTACTAGTAAACTACTGGGGACTGAGAGTCCTATAAATCAGTAAATGTACTAGTAAACTACTGGGGGACTGAGAGTCCTATAAATCAGTAAATGTACTAGTAAACTACTGGGGACTGAGAGTCCTATAAATCAGTAAATGTACTAGTAAACTACTGGGGGACTGGGAGTCCTATAAATCAGTAAATGTACTAGTAAACTACTGGGGGACTGAGAGTCCTATAAATCAGTAAATGTACTAGTAAACTACTGGGGGACTGAGAGTCCTATAAATCAGTAAATGTACTAGTAAACTACTGGGGACTGAGAGTCCTATAAATCAGTAAATGTACTAGTAAACTACTGGGGACTGAGAGTCCTATAAATCAGTAAATGTACTAGTAAACTACTGGGGGACTGAGAGTCCTATAAATCAGTAAATGTACTAGTAAACTGAGAGTCCTATAAATCAGTAAATGCACTAGGGGACTGAGAGTCCTATAAATCAGTAAATGTACTAGTAAACTGAGAGTCCTATAAATCAGTAAATGTACTAGTAAACTGAGAGTCCTATAAATCAGTAAACGTACTAGTAAACTGAGAGTCCTATAAATCAGTAAATGCACTAGGGGACTGAGAGTCCTATAAATCAGCAAACAGATGGACAGATTGGGGCATTGGTGAGTGGGGAATTTCTATTGTCTATCTACATTGCTGTCATGTGCACTTGCATTGTTCCACCACCTGCACTATTATAGTATTGGCTGTCCCATTTGAGGATTGGCCAGCCTGCTTTGTTGCTCACAGGTGTCCCATTTACACACAAGTTGCAAAAGTAGGTCTTGTTGCAAACAAAGCAGCTGTCCCATTTAGGACCGGCCAGCCCGTTCTGTTGCTCACAGGTTACACAGCAAGTTGCAAAAGTAGGTCTTGTTGCAAACAAAGCAGCTGTCCCATTTAGGACCGGCCAGCCCGTTCTGTTGCTCACAGGTTACACAGCAAGTTGCAAAAGTAGGTCTTCTGGCAGAGCTCATTTTGCAAACAAACATAAGCAGCCGTCCCATGTTAGGATTGGCCAGCCCGCTTTGCTTCCAGGTGTCCCAAGTTACATATATAGCCAGCTTGCGGGAATGAGCTGTCAGTGGCATGATGCAAAAAATTGCACATGTGAATTCCTTTCAGCTAAAGTACAATGCAAAGTACAACTGAACACTACCTGTGTACAACATGTGTACATTTTAAACCGTGTGCTCATTTTCCTCAAGAAGTTCCAATAATAACTGACTTAATTCCTCTCTCACTGTATATTATACTTGCAGCAATATCTGTGTTTTGCGGATACTCAATGTGTGCACTTTTTCAAGTCTTTCCCAAAGCATTCCCACTGTCACATGGTGTTTGGCACATAGCTAATATGTTTGTAAATATGATACGTGTGTTTACTGTGGCATGCCTCTTTGGGAACAAACGATTTCCTTCATTTGTTCCATAACAATTACTCATATCCTTTCTTTACCTCTCAATGTATAAACAGCTTTCGCCGGTAGAGGTTGGTTGCGGTGGTGGGGTGATTATATGGAACAAGTTGGAACAAGTATTGTATAACATTTGTTGACACATATGTTGTATATACTGCATATGGGCACATACATGTATGTTGTACTGCAACAGATTTGTTGGATATCCATAGGCAAATGACGTGTATGAACCCTGCTTGCACAATGTAGGATTGTATAGGCTGATAAAATCCCCCAGTACCTAGCTTCATACATGTCGGCTGCCTGGGGATATCTAACAAAGACACTGACCTGTAGGTTTACACCAAAAAAATCGAGGAAGGGCACTTGTGGTGAAGGCAGCAAACAATTTCTCACTCAGGGGAGGGATTAGCCCCCCCATACTCCTCTGGCCAGTATGTCTGGAGATAACTAGTGGCTGGAGCTTAATTACTATTCCTGGTTAACCCACTAATCTATGATCTAGTAACACACATCCTCTTGCTTATTGAACACACCATTTCCCATTGTTGATTGGTGGCCAATTTCAGGTGTTTTTATAGACCTGAAGTGAACCTAGGCCAAGCCTTACGTAATGTTAGATCACCGAGGTGTGCCACGGAATGTTTGTCACCAGGTGGGAGACTAACTAACTGATGCCACATGTGTAGAGTTTCGCAGCTTCAGCCGTGTTGCTGAGGCAACTTATATGCACGTGTATCCCCTCCAGCTTAGTAAATGTACGGGGCTCTTTCGGTGATGCTTGTTAGTGCTACTACTTACGTTTGCAATGAGCAGTGTAAGGATGCGTGGACGAGTACATGTAGGACAGAGAGACAGGAGTACATGTAGGACAGAGAGACAGGAGTACATGTAGGACAGAGAGACAGGAGTACATGTAGGACAGAGAGACAGGAGTACCTGTAGGACAGAGAGACAGGAGTACATGTAGGACAGAGAGACAGGAGTACCTGTAGGACAGAGAGACAGGAGTACATGTAGGACAGAGAGACAGGAGTACATGTAGGACAGAGAGACAGGAGTACATGTAGGACAGAGAGACAGGAGTACATGTAGGACAGAGAGACAGGAGTACATGTAGGACAGAGAGACAGGAGTACATGTAGGACAGAGAGACAGGAGTACATGTAGGACAGAGAGACAGGAGTACATGTAGGACAGAGAGACAGGAGTACCTGTAGGACAGAGAGACAGGAGTACATGTAGGACAGAGAGACAGGAGTACATGTAGGACAGAGAGAGAGACAGGAGTACATATAGGACAGAGAGACAGGAGTACATGTAGGACAGAGAGACAGGAGTACATGTAGGACAGAGAGACAGGAGTACCTGTAGGACAGAGAGAGAGACAGGAGTACCTGTAGGACAGAGAGAGAGACAGGAGTACATGTAGGACAGAGAGAGAGACAGGAGTACATGTAGGACAGAGAGACAGGAGTACCTGTAGGACAGAGAGGGGGTTCCACTGTTTATGTGAAAGTGTGACTTGTCTTACTGCCAGTCTGATGAACCTTAGCCCTTTGGCGCCATCGGTATCTATTAAATAGGTAGATATTGATGTATAAAGTATTAGCGCATTGTATTATAACCCCCATATAAATTCTTATGGACTTATGAAGGCATTTATGTGTCAGTGGCTGGTTAAACCTTAAGAGTAAAGGTAGCCCACTCACATGTCAATCCAATGAAGGCATTTATGTGTCAGTGGCTGGTTAAACCTTAAGAGTAAAGGTAGCCCACTCACATGTCAATCCAATGACTTCAGAATCTGGAGCCACTATTGCAGCGGGAGGGTGGGGTTGTGAAAGCACCAAAGTCAGCCGGTGGAGTGGCACTCCCCTGATGTGATTATTGCCTTACTAAGGCACTGGGCAATTGGGGTATTGCAACCTAGTGGTATATACTATCTTAGCTCAGTTGGAAAAACTGTTCGTGGTTTTTGTAAGGGTATATACAAATACAAGACTCAAAATTTTAATTGAAAGAACCTAAAATTTTCGTGAATCGGAGTAGGTAGGTGATAGTGATTGGTTCAAAGGATCAAAATAAGAGTCATTTGAGACTAAATGTGGCGGCAATATGCCTATTGCTTGGCTGCAAAAGCTTCTGGGGAATAACCAGGGAATGGTGCGGTTGGTGACTGAGGTCTCTGCTAATCCGATTAGACACCCCATTCTTAGCTCAGTTGGAAAAACCGTTCGTGGTTTTTGTAAGGGTATATACAAATACAAGACTCATGGAAATAACCTAAAACCTTCGTGAATCAGAGTAGATAGGTGATAGTGATTGGTTCAGTGCTTAACTAGATAGCAAAGGATCAAAATAAGAGCCAGTTGAGACTAAATGTGGCAGCAATATGCCTATTGCTTGGCTGCAAAAGTTTCTGGGGAATAACCAGGGAATGGTGCGGTTGGTGACTGAGGTCTCTGCTAATCCGATTATACACCAGTCGTCGGCTGCTGAGTTGTTTATGTCTGTTATAAGGTTTGGATTCGTACATGATGGTCTAATGGTATTAGAGCGCAGCCTAGCCGAATTTCGTGTGGTCTAAATATCGTTTCGTGATCGCAAGTCCCCACGTTCTAAAGCATTCATGTTTCACAGACTCATTGTCTGGATATTATTAAGAAAGCTTCATTTTCTTGGATTTCCTCAAGAAATGAACATAGAGACTGGGGAGTATGATTGCTTAGTGGCTTAGTTCTGGCCCTGGTTGCGCAACAGGAAGTTGGCTAGACACCCTGTGTTATGGGCAGCTTATCCGCTGCAATAAAGCAGACAGGTAGCTATGTATATACACAGTCTGGTTTTGAAATAGTCCCTCTTTTGCTAGGAATCTGCCTGGCTGCCTGAATGTTTACCTAGACAAGTACAGGTGCTTATCTGTGTATGTATTGCTAGTGATGCAAGCAGTTAGGAGGTTGTCCTCTCATACACGCGCGGTTTCCCTGTGTACGCCTTACGTAATGTTAGATCACCGAGGTGTGCCACGGAATGTTTGTCACCAGGTGGGAGACTAACTAACTGATGCCACATGTGTAGAGTTTCGCAGCTTCAGCCGTGTTGCTGCGAGGCAACTTATATGCACGTGTATCCCCTCCAGCTTAGTAAATGTACGGGGCTCTTTCGGTGATGCTTGTTAGTGCTACTACTTACGTTTGCAATGAGCAGTGTAAGGATGCGTGGACTAGTGATTTGTACGCACTCCTTCTCAGAGCATAGGCCTCTGTGATTACTTGAGAATTCCATGCTGCTACCACATCTTTCTGAGACTACTTGGGTGTATAGGAACCAAGCAATGCTCTGCCAGTAAGGGTCTGACTTGTGTCAGTGTATATAATAATAGGTTTAGTGTCTGCTATAACAGTTGCGTGTGACGTGTGCGCCTGCGACGTGTGGGGGCCTGCTTATCCAGTGAGAAACTGAATGCATTTAGCGGTATGTACAACGTGTGTGTACGTGGGGAGGAGGGCTTGCTGTTTGCTGCATGCAGCCTACAGATATACACATTACGCACAGCTTTTAGCTGGTAATAGATGCCTCGTGTAGTGTCCACTTAGTGCCCTGTGTGGGAAAGACCCTAAAAAGATAGATGTATGTATGTATGTATGTGATAGTCTGATAGTGTGGGAAAGCCCTAAAAGGTGAATAGATGCACCCTATGATGATAGTCTGATAGTATCATGATAGTCTGATAGTTTGTCTGAAGTTTGCAAACACACTATGGGTTATTTGCCCTCTGAGAGACACGCTCCCACAGGTTCTCACGTTTAAACAATACCTCTCCTTGTTGGTCCCCTTTCTTCTTCACCTGCCTCCTCCCTCACCTCTCTCCCTAAACCGTAATACCCCTCTCGACCTCTCCTCCCCACAATAATGTGAACTCTCTCCCTCTCCTCCCCACAAGAATCCAAACTCTCTCTCTCTCTCCTCCTCCCCACAAAATGTGAACTCTCTCTCTCTCTCTCTCTCTCTCCTCCCCACAAAAATGCATCGCGTTAGTAAACATCCACACCAATTTTCACACAATCTCAACCTCCACAGATATTCTGGTACTACAGACGGATTCTCCAGCCGGCCCTCATCTGGTACGTATTCCTCCAGTGTCTGTTTCTCTTTTTCCAGTGTGTCACCACGGACATCTTTGCCTTCTACGAGTCTCCAATCACCCACACTACTGAGACCCCTTCGACGCTAACAGCACCGTTGACAAATCTAACCAACTCGTCGCCTTATCATAACAACAGCACCATAGCAATAGCCCGGTGGCCCATATCTCGTTGACACACACCCTATAATAAGTTTGATTATGGTACATAGTTGTGTGTGTGCTAATTTACTTTTAATATCGTGTAATGTTAGATTTTGTGTTGTGCGAAAAATGTAAGAGAAGTTCTTTTTAATCTTCAGGTCTGCGGCATTTTAGATGCGCAATATGTTGAATCTCACTTTTTAAAATGGTTTTCGTGTACGAAAACAAAAAATAGTAATTGGTGTTGAGATAATTGTATAGGACCAAGTAATATATTGCGAGGTTTATTGCTACACACACACACACACACACATGTACACATCATATAAAAAGCACAACAGAAAAGAGACTTGAAGAAGCTTCAGTTGGTTTATAAAATTTGCAACCCTTCATCTGCATAACTTCACGTAGCACAGAATTCACCGTGTGAAAAACAGGATACATAAAATCGATCTAAAAACCGAAAATAATGAGAGGAAAAAACGCGGAAAACGGGATACATAATTGCGTTTTACGTGACTTGGTTGCTCAATAGTTCTGTTTTGACAATCTTAGGTCCGCAGTAGCTTATGTGTTCGAACATGTGAGCGAAACCGGACTCCGACCCAATGTCGTAGGGCGTGCGGCACGTGGGACAAGGTAGCAGTCTTTGCTGCGGGGGCGCGCCGGGCTGTGCAGCTATACCCGTCTTTGCAGAGAGGTGGTGGGTGTGGCCGTTTGTCATGGGCACGAGCGTGTTGGGTCTCGGGGAGCGTTTGGTGACCTGCGGCCAGGAGCGAGTGTCCGAGGGAAGACTCATGTTGTGCTGGGTGGCCCGCTCGAACCCGGTCACCTGCTCGTCAAACAACACTCGCAGCTGCCTGTCTTTCTCGACGAGGCTTCCCATGTGGTCGCCCCTGGCAATTAGGCCCTGCAGGTGAAAACAAAGGTTTATGATCCACAATTGTACACAAGCATAGTTTGTTTAGTGTGTGTGTGTGTGTGTGTGCGAGGCACACTGTAGTGTAATTGTGAGGTATGTCATGGTTGGCATTCTGACATCCAGGACTACTTACCAACCATTATACTGGAAGCTTTTCCTAGAAGACGTGTGCGCGTGTGTGTGTGTGTGTGTGTGTGTGCGTGTGTGTGTGTGCATGTAACTGCTACAATGTTACGTACCGGAGGAGTGGGAGGGGGAGGGAGCGGTTCACTCATGTACTGCTGGACCCTACAGTCGTGATGATGTCTCCGCGATGAGCTGCTCACTCCCAGTATGGACATGAAGGCATGTCTCAACTTGTCAACCTACGAGTGTGGCATTGAAATGAATGAAACATGGTTTCGTACACTTATAATAAAGGACACCTATCTACAGAGACAATTGTGTTGAACTCCCCCCTCTAAGAACACCCCTGACGTGAGGATGGCTCTCTATTCTGTCGGTTTGGAGGGGTTCCAAAGTTACTACCGATGATCACATCTTAATTTAACTCTGTATGTTTTAGTGGAGATGTGCAGTATCACCAAATGGAGAGGGGAGAGGACCATGAGACTATCATGTGATTACCCCCACCTGTCTATATTAGCAACATACAAACCTTGGTGGGGTGACCTTGTAGTACTAAAGGTCACCTGTTTCTACTGCTATATACCCAATACTACTCTTGTTACAATCCCAGTGCTAATACCACACCTCTGTATTATATAAAGGACAACCTTTAAACCCTAGTGTGCCCATTATTCAGAGGTTCTGTGGGGTTATATACTCAAGTGTGGGTGTGCATACAAGTTGGCAAAAGCACCGGTGGCATATGGAAGGGGCATTATAGTCCTCTTCCAGTACAAACACACCCTCTGTGCAGTACCTTTCACCATACCCTATACTCATATACATACAGCTACAAGTCTTGACACATACTGCAAGGGAAAGGGAAAGCAAGTGTGTGTGTATATCATTATATCACTATAATGCCCTTTGGATGCAGGTACGGTGTTACACGCAAGGCGCTCATATTGTATTTTAAACACTCACAGTGCTTGAATTACCCTTGGCTATGCACAAGGCCCATGTTTTGAGAGCACTCACTACAAACTTTCAATTTCTCTACTTCTGGCACTCATGGGCATGCTCGCATGCTTGATGCCCCGATGATGCAATCATGACATCACCAGGAACAGGCAACATGCACACATGCCCCCCAGGACTGCGTACTTTTGTCAGTGGACAAACTTGCACACACACACGGTATGTCTGTGTGCTATAACAGTTTGTCAAGACATATCTGCTTCAAATGCTCCCCAACCGTTCCCAAGGGATGCTTACATACATCTGCAAGGTTTACCCGGCATGACTGAAATACCAGCAACAAATACCCCTGCTATAATGTGCTGTACATTCTACATACATCTGGTGGTACATACATACAGTAGTCGCATAGTAAGTTCTAGATACATCTCGTGGTACATAAGTAGTGTATAGTACATTCTACATACATCTGGTGGTACATTACAGTAGTGCATAGTAAGTTCTAGATACATCTGGTGGTACATAAGTAGTGTATAGTACATTCTACATGTACATACAGTAGTGCATAGTACGTGTACTGTCATGTATTGGCATGTGGCATGTGGCATGCGGCATGTACTCAACTGGACCAAGCAGGACAAAACACACATGTGGGGCATGCAGCGCTAGAGCTAGGGGCTTTTCTGGAAGACTCTATAGAGGGCGAGTTGTTTACAAATACTGCCCCATTTGGTCCCCAGGGTAGGCTGATATCATAGGCTGCCCCCCACACACACTTACTATCACTGGTTTACATGACTAGACAGACGAGATGCCTCCCATTACAACCCAATATGAAACTCCAGCCAGTTGGTTTGCAGGCCAGACACCCTCTTGAAACTAACACCATACCAACCAGCAGAGGCGCTAAGTTCTGGGGAATACCCTGGCAATTAGACCGCATACCATCCAATTGTCCAATTAGCGATGGGGGTGACCCTTTGTATTGGGGAGACAGTATAAAGCTTATGCGCCAGATTGCATACTTGGCACATGCTAACAGGGGCACTAAAGAGATTACGCTTAACCAGATTGCATACTTGGCACATGCTAACAGGGGCACTAAAGAGACTGTATACAGCTTATACACCAGATTGCATACTTGGCACATGCTAACAGGGGCACTAAAGAGACAATATACAGCTTATACACCAGATTGCATACTTGGCACATGCTAACAGGGGGGCACTAAAGAGACAATATACAGCTTATACACCAGATTGCATACTTATGTAGCTAGCTGTATACACCAGATTGCATACTTACGTAGCTGTATACACCAGATTGCATACTTGGCACATGCTAACAGGGGCACTAAAGAGACAATATACAGCTTACACACCAGATTGCATACTTATGTAGCTGTGTATACACCAGATTGCATACTTGGCACAGTGCTAACTATACAGCTTATGCACCAGATTGCGCAAGCTAACAAGGCTAAATAGGGCACAAGTTGTGGTAAACTCTCTGGTTATATAAGATAGTAATTCTATATGTGCAATTTGTCAGCACCACTTCCTAATGATGCCAGAGTTAAATATGACACCTGCACTCTTACTTCCACCCCATGCCTTTGATCACACTATACCTACCTTTCATAATTATAACAACGGGCATATGGCGGGATGCTAGGAAATGTCACACGCTAGCGTACCACCACCATAAGCAAAAAAGGCAGCCTTAGCAACCATATATCCCCCTGTATGCAAATAGTATCTAGCCTACAAGGAGACTTTGTATGTACCTGGTGCTGAAGTTGTATCTTCTTGCTGGTGGTGTCTTGGTGCTGTTTCTCCAGCTGGCGCATCTTCAGCTCCAGCTTGCGGAAGTCTTCCTTCAGCCTCGCCGCAGCCTGAAGGTCGCCAATTTCTTGAATCTGGGAGACAGGGTGAAGCGAGAAACGGGAGATTTTAGACGGTATTCATTGCTCAGCTTGCACAATATTATATTGAACATGGAATGTGCGTGGGACGTGCACTTCTATATGCATGCCAGTAAAAGTATTCATACTCTGCAATTCACACCATGCTATGGGATAGTCCATGATAACTAAACAGCTCACGCTTTCCCATGAAGAAAGTAGAAAACGAGATAGAGAGAGAGAGAGAGAGAGATAGGGGAGGAGAGGGATACCCATGCACAGAGCATAGAAATTTACCTGGAGCTGCACTGCTTGGTTTTCACTGTCCAGTGACTTTATGAGCATGTCTTTCTGCTTCGATTTTCTCTCCTCTTCTTCCAAAAGTTTCTCGAGGTCTCTGTTCTTGCGACCGAGTTCTTTGGCCTGTCGCGACAGTTGGTCGAGCTGCTCTCGAAGCGAGAAGCAGTTGGGGCAAGCGTGCGAGTGCGAGGCGTGGGAAAGTGCGAAGGAAGGTGGATGGGTGGGGGTACGTGCGTTCTGGTGCTGTTCTGCGGTAGTGACTGGTGCGTGTGTGACGGATGTGCCGTTTGTGAGATGGTGGGTGGATGTACCGTTGCTACTGGTGCTCCAACTTCCAGATGTTAGAGCCTCTACTTTTTTAGTTAGGCTGTTATAGTCTCTCGACCATGCGTCATTTATTTGATAGAGCTGTAAGAGATAAAAGCAAGACATACAGGTAAAAGGTAGTCACAGCTATCATTAGCAGCTAAATGCACTATAATACAGAGCTGATTTGGTTCAGTGTGCTTGCAACTCACCTCACTCTGAGAGGCTTGAAGCTTTGCTTTTTCTTGACGTAGCTCTGCATTTTCCCTCCGTAGCCTTACTAACTCTTCCCTCTCGTGTTCCTGAGAACCACATTCAGGCTGCTGGTTTTCTTCTACGCGCGCCTTCAAATGACTAATGTAGTCCTCGTACACACTTCTCTCTCTGACCATTTCATTGCACTGCTGCAGTAGGACAAACATGTGCAGAAGGGTGTATACGAGTGCAGCTTCAACGTTTTTGAGCCTCCAGCTATAGAAATGTATCGGGAGCAAGTCCTCCAGCTTCTGCTGCGCATCTTTAGAGTTGGCCAGCTCTACTACGACGCCAGTGTCGAGCAGGTCTCTCTGAATCAATTCTTCAACAGTGTTCTGGAGGGTGGCTCCGATGCCGCTGGCAGACGGGAGGCTCCCGTTTCGCCTCTTTCTGGGACTCTGCGGGCTGGAGCAGCGAGAGCTGGCTCTTGAGCTCGGTCGAGAGCCGGGGGGCGACGGCAAAGGCAGATGCGCAGAGTTTTCTCTCTCGTCGTCGCTGCTGATGCTACTGCTGCTCGACATCTCGTGAATTTCTCTTCCGATTCTGCAGAAAAAGGGGTGGAAAGGTGAACCAACCAGAACCTTCACACCTTTGCAGAGCGAGCTAGCACAAATCCTCAGATATTCAGCGCACACAAAAAGCAGCAAAGCTAGTGAAAATGAGTGTGCAAAGGCTATTGCCTACCTTGGATCTACAGTCAGTCAGCTACTAGTTTTGCAGATTTTGCAGCTAGCTGTGTTCAAAAATACATTTTCTGCAGGCCCGTCATATTTATCTCTAATCTCGCGAGGGTAATCCCCACACAATAAACATTCCGAAGGTAGGCGTTTTTGCTTGTCGAGTCAGCAATCGCAAGGCAGCAGGAGAAGATGGCTTGGCTGCCGTTGTTTCTTTCTCGATCGGGATATAGGCCGGTTGCCGCCGTTGCTGGAGCTGCGAAGCGAAGTGTAGCGATAACTCGTCAGCGGACTCCCTCTCGCTGGATCAGCACGTCCGCCTCGCCGAGACGTCGTAGGCAGACGGGCTGGTTCAGTCACTACTACACCCGTCATTCTCAACCGTCTCCCGTCTCCAATGGGAGCATTATGGGCAGCTACTGTCACGGTGAGACCCTCTGCACGTTTTTTGAGAAACTGTACAAGAAACAACCCTCTCTATACGACTGTTTTAACTCTCCTCCTCCTCCTCCTCCTCCTCCTCCTCCTCCTCCATCTTCCTCAAAGTTCGGACCATGTTCGTCCAGACGCAGGACACACCAAACCCCAACTGCCTCAAGTTCCTGCCTGGAGTAACTGTTTTGGAGTCAGGTTAGCCGATTAGCCACCAGTAAACCAAATAGCCAGACTGCATATTCATGATAATTACGATACTGTTTCGCAGGAACACTTGATTTTCCCTCCCCGATTTCGGCTCGTGGATCTCCCCTTGCTCGACAGTTATTCAGAATCGAAGGGGTTAAAGGCGTATTTCTAGGCCGCGACTTTGTCACCATCACAAAGGTACAGGTCAGAGTTCAAAACTATTGTATATTATAGTGTGATTTCCGGAGGGAAATGACGAGCCATTTTCAATTTAGTAACATTTCCTCCCGTGACGTTTCCCATTAAACCACATTTCCTCTTTTTAGTCCATTAACCTACAAATCTGTGGTGTGGTGGGAATGTTTTGGTAAGAGTTTTGGCTTGTTACTAAAAAAGGCAGCGTGCCCTATAATAATTATACCCTCATCTTAGGATGGAGGGAATTAGTGTTCTTCCTGGATGTAAGGTGGTTTTTAGACGTTATATATAGTAACGTCTCCTTCTCTACTTGTGATACCTAAAAAGGTATAGCTGGCTAGTTAAATGCTGGAGGATGTATGTATACATATTACGCAATGTGCATTAAATAGTTGGTGTTTAAATTTTAATTTCCCACACGAGTCATAGCAAAGCTGAGAGACATATCAAGCTCACGTATATATTATATACAATATTAGTTTTGTTACAGCTTGTACAAGTCGCGTACAGAAGAATTAAAAACACCGACTGGGTGCGTGCAATGTCGTCAGCAAACGAAAGGCAGCCAAAGTGGTAAGCATGTGCGGATTATTCCGGAATAATCCGCACAGGCCTACAAAGTGGTAGCGATGTTGTAATTGTTTATTTCCTGTGCCGTTGATCAACTAATGCAGCAAGAAAGGGGGAGAAAGAAACATACCATAGTCAATGGGTTTAATTGATCACCTTCCAAACCGGATTATTCCAGAATAATCCGCACAGGCCTACAAGTGGTAGAGATGTTGTAATTGTTTATTTCCTGTGCCGTGTTGCGGTTGATCAACTAATGCAGCAAGAAAGGGGGAGAAAGAAACATACCATAGTCAATGGGTTTAATTGATCACCTTCCAAACCTGCGACAATAACTTTCATGCCCGGGCAAAGTTCACCTGAAAATCCCCCTCAGTGTACTGTATGATAGGCTACAGGAAATTGCATTCATAACAATAGGGTTACTGTGATCGTGTCAATGGTCCAGGGTTCGTGTATCGTCTAGACAAGGCTCGTATATGTTTTGATTCAGTGGAAGACACTCTAAATAAAGAGCACCTCTGTATAAAGGACACTTGGTTTGATAACAATGTGATCATGTCAATGGTCCAGGGTTCGTGTATCGTCTAGACAAGGCTTGTATATGTTTTGATTCAGTGGAAGACACTCTAAATAAAGAGCACCTCTGTATAAAGGACACTTGGTTTGATAACAATGTGATCATGTCAATGGTCCAGGGTTCGTGTATCGTCTAGACAAGGCTTGTATATGTTTTGATTCAGTGGAAGACACTCTAAATAAAGAGCACCTCTGTATAAAGGACACTTGGTTTGATAACAATAGGGTTACTGTGATCGTGTCAATGGTCCAGGGTTCGTGTATCGTCTAGACAAGGCTTGTATATGTTTTGATTCAGTGGAAGACACTCTAAATAAAGAGCACCTCTGTATAAAGGACACTTGGTTTGATAACAATAGGGTTACTGTGATCGTGTCAATGGTCCAGGGTTCGTGCGTCGTCTAGACAAGGCTTGTATATGTTTTATGATACAGTGGAACCTCTTGTAATGGACACTCTAAATAAAGAGCACCTCTGTATAAAGGGCACTTGATCTGGTGCTTGTATTATTAAACCTCTGTAAAAAGATAGTCCCAGTGTATACTCCAGTATATCATCGCAGTGACTATGTGCATATTGCATAAATTTATTCCCCTTTGTTAAAATCATATGGCTGCTATAAACACCCCCTTGTTGTTTTAAACTATGCATAATATAGACACGAAAGGTTATTTTTGCGTGTGTGTATAACATTAGATTTTTTGACTCATCTTGGTGTTGGCCAATTTGCAGAGTGTAGCAAGGAAGACTGTTTTCTGAGCGCATACTTTCGTGATGATGTCATGCAATGTAATGCCCTAATTCCATGTTAGTATTAATAGGCCATACTGTACTGGATGATGTCATGCAATGTAATGTCTCACTCCATGTTGTGTTTGTTACTATTAATAGGCCATCCTGCGCTGGACATTTTGCGTGTGTGAAATATCCTACCCTAACAAGTCTGGTAAACCTCAGGTTGTAATCGTTAGCGATAATTGGAGGAAGTTTGTTCATGCTTTATAGCCCCTCACTTCCTTACTGAAAACCTCTCTCTATGTGCTAACTTAACTAGCACCATAGTAACGATACAGCCCTGAAACTGTGAGTGCAGTACCTAATGTGGTAGGCTTACAACACCCCCTCAATCAAACCCTCTACTCATATAGAGACTCAGTGGTTTCCGTGTGGTTGTGTGTGCTTCTACACACTCAAGCGGGAAGTCACTCCAATTTACTGTGTGTGTGTGTGTGTGTGTGTTCCATACTTCGTAACCGCAGACGTACATATCTGCCTGCATTTAGCTACGTATGCTTCCCATAGTTCTAGTGGAAGTGTACCTGTGTCAGTTGCCAATTGAGTCACATGAGTAATGTACTAGAGACTATAGCTTCTACGTCACTACGTATACGTATGTATTGTACTTGTATTGTACTTATGTGCATAATGCATACGTACGTCTTCTAATATTATGTCATTCTAGAATGGGTTTAGTACAGTGAGTTTTGCAGCTTTTTGTCGTGTGAGCAGATCCTGCGTAAACTGCCTCAGCGTTGCTGTCGTTTCATAAACAAGACAACACAACCACATTTTTACTCTAGGAATCCACAGAGATTTTCTCATAGGGTCTGTTCACACAGGACTAAAAAAAACTCACATAAAGGCTTGACAGTGACTTCTGTAAGATAAGATAACTCTAGAACAGCGCTGTAAATGTTGGAATAGCTTTGATCCAGCTTGAAAGCATGAAAAGGTTTTCTTCAACCTTTGCCCCGGGGGTACCTGTACCACTGTACATGATGAATCAATGTTCATTTCCATAGACAGTCTGGGTACACATACTTACATACATGATGAAATAGCTTTCTAGAAGGGGTATAAAATAGTTCAGGATCCTGTATAGACGATGTAAGGTTGCTTCAACCTTTACACAGGGCTGTATGTTTTTAATAAGGGACATTTATGCGACAATTGGAAGGAACTTGAATTTGTTGTGCTGCGTAAGACTTCCCATTCACGACTGTACTTTTCACACGGCACTGATAGTATTCAGGTCCACTGCTGCTTGCAGTATATGGCACTTTCAATGTGGCTCAGCACACAAGTTCCGCGCAAAACTGGCAGATTTTTCTATCGACATTGATGCTCTTGAAAAGCATGCAGATTTCTTTGTCAGCCAAGGCCTTAGTACATTGGGGAATCTCTGAATAGACACTCCAAATAAGGACACCTCTCTATACCTGTTTTGATCGGGTTGCTCAATAATATACTGTGGTGTATCAAAATAAAAGACACCACCTCACCTTTGTATAAATGTGCAGTGGGACTATTTGCTAAGGAGTAATTTATCACACAGACCTGTTGCCTATATAGGCCTATTGCTACTCAGAAGAATTCCTGCCATTTTGTGATAGGTAACCTAATTCCCGACTTTGTATGGTGAAAAACTTTGACAAATGCCCGTATAAGTACTCAGTGTTACTTACGTATGGAACCATTCAACATCATGTGCCCACATGTACATGTAGACACCTCCTGCAGCACGAGACTGGTTTATTTAAAATATGTGTCACCGTAAAAGGCATCGGTTTCAGCTATAGCTACGGGGAAGATAGCTGTTTGCATACTCTTTAATCGGGAGAGGTGTTGTGATAAAATAGTTGGCGTCGGTTACGTTGTGTGTGTTGAGAGTGGGTTATGATGTCAGTGCAGTTCTCCACGGCAACGGGCTGTTTTAGTGTGTAAATGTACACAGGTGACCCCAGTCAGTTTCAATATCGCTAAAACCCCGTGACGACGCAGGTCAACCAATGTCCACTCTACCCAGCAACAGTTCAATATGCTTTTTATACATACAACCGTGTTACGTAATATTTCAGCGCCATACATTAGCCTGGGCACTGAGACTAGTATGGAAAGGGTTAATTAATTAAGGTGTATATACTACTGTGTATGTACAACAAAACTCCCTATCATAGCCCCATACATCTATGATGCTAGGTACCATGCCAATCCCTATATACTAAGTACAGTGTTGAATCTGAAGAAGGAGAATGAGAAGATGAACAAAACTCCCTATCATAGCCCCATACATCTATGATGCTAGGTACCATGTCAATCCCTATATACTA